ATACTTGTAATCATTAACTTCATGTGCAATTTAAATGATTTTCATTTGCCCAGATGTTTATTATTTTTGCTTTGTTATTAAGCATCACTTTGGGTGTGTCTTTAAGGGTGTTTCTTCATGATAGTAGTATTTGAACTGGCAGACTTCATGAAAGAGATGGTTTTCCTTAGATGGAGGAGAAATCTCTAGTCTTTTCAAGGCCTCTAAATGCAGCATTGGAGAAAGAAGAAGACAAGCTTGAGAAAAAATGGAGATATTGTTATATAATTGTAAATAGTTTAATCTCTGCATCTCCTCATAAACAAGTACTTCAATTTGTTAAATGTTCCTCATAAACTTAAAGTTCCTTGTAAATTTTTTCCACACATGTGCTAACAATAATATTTGGGTAGGTTTATTTACACCATGGAAGAAGCTTATGAAACGTCTTTGTTTCTATTCTTAATTTTAATTTTTTTATTTGTGTGTGTGTGTGTGTGTGTGTGCATACTCAGATGTGAAGGAGTGCATATGGAAGTCAGAGGACAACTTGTGGGGTTCTGTTCTTTTCTTTAGGTCATCAGGCTTGGCAGTCTTACCTGCACTATTTCTGTTATTCATCCTCTATTTCATATATATGTATCTGTGTAGATAGATGATAAATAGATAGATAGATAGATGATAGATAGATATAGTTTTCCCATCCTTTAATTTTTCTAACGATAGCATTTTTCTTCTATTTCTTTATAGACCTCACATATAGAATTGAATAAAAGCATTTGGTGTGTTAGAGAAACAAAATATTGGCTTGGGAAGGTGTGGTCTGCTCATCACCTTGGATGGTTTGTCAATCATCTTGCCTCTTGTAGTGTTCATACAGATAATGGGATTTTGTCCAGTCTTATGGAGAAAGCTATGTAGCTGTACAAGCCTAGCATCTAGAAAGACTCTGCAGTATGGATAATGTTGGAGGGAGAACAGAGCCTGGCCATTTGATATGTTCCCACAAGATAGTTTGACACTTTTAAATGAAGTCCTTTAAAGCTATTCTGCTGTTCTACAGAAATGTTTCTCATTTATTGTGTTCTCTGTCATATTTCCTGCTGATTTCTTTGTCCTTTGTAGCTGCTGAAGGGATGGTTTGCAACCACCTGTGTTCAAGTGATGGCTGTTGGGGACCTGGGCCAGACCAGTGCCTGTCATGCCGGCGCTTCAGTCGCGGAAGGATCTGCATAGAATCCTGCAACCTCTATGATGGGTAAGAGCCATGATGCCACCTTTACCTTTTGAGTTGTGAGCTGCTGCTTAACACTAAGAAAAGGGTAAAATTTTTGAATGTGTGCATATCAAGGTTTTCAAGAGCACCTGTGATGTAATAAAAAAGGTATAAAATTATTTTAAGGGAAAACCATTTTTGCTTGAAATAATAAGTCTAACATTGACTAATATGCATTTTAAAGATGTCTAATAAGATAAACGAATCTTAATGAGTTATACGAATTTATACTTAAGCAACACCTTTTAAAATTTTAATTTCCTTATGAGGTGATTGTTGTCAGCAATCTCCCTCCCTATATGTTTCTCAGCAGGCTGGTAGAAATTTTTCCTCTCAAACCTTCGTATTACTTTTCATCTGGAATTATGGCATAGCTTTGATTTTTTCCCACTCAGGTTGTATGACTGTTCATGCCTAGAAATAACCCATGTCTCTATGCCCTTTACAACTATGGAGCCTATGAAAAATCTGTATCTGTGATATGAATTAGAGAGGGTTTTGTATGTGTTCTGATACTTTCCAGATAATCAGTATTTTAAGTCACTATTTTAAATTTCCCATGGTGCTACAATAGCACATTACCAGCAAGCAAACCTAGTATACATCCTGCATCACGGTGTTTCACAATCCATTAAATCACTTTATCATATCCTAATTTTATGCATCATAGTTGCCCTTCATTAGTGAGATATTACATTTCTTAGGGCTGTTTTTTCTTATGTAATTGAATCGAAAGTATTTTGGGCAATTTTGTAAATTATAAATCTGAAGGACTTCATTTGTTTTGTGCATTTGAACTATCTCATCTTGACAACTAATATCATGATGCGAGATAGCATTAGTTTTTCATATCATGTTAAAAGAATAAAAGTACATTCATCGTAGTAATACTGATGTATCTTTTTGAAGATGACCTAAGAAAATTCCCTCCATGAAATTTAGGTGGCAAAAATGAAAACTGTAGCTTAAATACTAACATAATTTCAAAAATAATATAATAATTTTTGAGAAAACCTCAGCTTGTAATTTCAGCATGTACATTGACAATGAATAGAACAGGCCCCATGGGAACTGTGTGCATTACTCTTCATGTTATTAAGAAAGGACATTTTCTCTACATAAAATACCTGTGTGTGCAGCAACCAATGTCATTAAAATGAATTACAAGAGAATTTAGTTTCATTAAGCAAATGTTAGAGTCACAGTTTATTATGCATATATGCATTTCTGAGGAGGGAGCAGATTCTAGAAATCATTTTATCTAACAGCAAATTATGAACAGTGAGGACTGGCGTGATGAATTATAAGCTAAAATCATAAAATGTTAGAACAGTCAAACCAGCACTGGAATACATAGGGGTTATGGTTTTCATCCTTTCTAGAATGCCATTGCTTTTCTTAAGTATTTCTGTTTTAAATTCATCTGCAATACAAAATTTATAAATTTGTAAGTGAAAATAATATAGTATCAATTTTGTGATTACGGAAAGTGAAAAAGTGCTTATAAGGTCTTGTTTAAGTTTCCTGCCATGAATATCACTGTCATTATATCCTTTTTATATGATAATATGTTCTTATTAAATTTTTGAGTAAAACATTCGTACTAAAAACTACTGAAACCAATCATATAAATGCACATTTATCAAAATAAGATGTTCATTTAAAAATATATATTTATTAATATAGATTTTTTTGTGTGTATGTACACAAAAAAAGATTGAAGACATTTAAAAAAGGAAAGCAAATCGATTCCTGTCTAATTTGCATTAAAATTCAAGTGGAATAAGTTACTGTATTTTTGCAGACCTTAACTTCAATAAGCAATCAATAAAACTGAAAGAGAAAGGTAGATGTACTAGAACCTTAAGACTTTAAATTTGGGGGCTGGGTAGGTGGCTAAGAATTTAGGAGTGCTTCCTGCTTTTCCAGTTCAGTTCTCAGCATGCACATAGGATAGCTTCCAATAACCTATAACTCCAGGTCCGTTCAGGCTCTTGGTAACTGCACACACATGACATACACTTATGTACATATAAGTAAAAATGAGTATTTTTTATTTAAATTTTAAAGCTTTTCCTATCAAGTAACTATTCTGAACCTTTAAGATCAACACAAAAGCATCCAAGACTGACTGCCAAAGACCTTTGATGGCAGATTTATAGTAAAGAATCACAATATCTCAATAAAACATTCTTTTTTCCTTTTACAGAAGATATTTAGTAAAGTTCAAGTACTTAAATCCTAGAAATATTAGTGTTGGTGATGGGATTTAAATTTTGGAGACCCAATGGCACAGCATTTACTACTGTTTCTAGGAATAGCTAAGCTAAATCACAAGTATCACATCAAAAACAAGTAAAGCAGGGCTCAGCAGGCAAATCTCAGGTTCAGTAGACTATAATTTTTCAGGCTATATCCAAGTTCAGGGAACACTGCAAAGTCACAGTTGAGATATGGAACAAGAGCAATAATAATTAAACAAAGAGCAAAGACAAAATAAGTAGCAAGGACTGCAAGAAGGAACTTGGACAAATGCAAGAAAGTCAGGTGCCCTATACATAGAATTTGTGGAAGGAAAGGCATTGGACGGTCTCCATGGTTTTTCATGACATGCATTTTACTTCTCATCTGATGTGTGGAACAGAGGACTGGGGGAAACATGGCCTATGTTTAGAAGCACACAAAGTTAGGATCATCATTTCTCACCATGAATACTTTATTGCCAGTAATTATCAGAAGATCCTAGGCCTTGTTACAAAATAAATTTCATTATGCATTATTTGTAATTCTTCTTAGACATTCCCTCTCCTAGGTCATTTTTCCCTTTTATATTAAAATCTTCCTCAGATAAGCAATTTACTTAAATCAAGTTAATAAAATATTCAAAAGAAGACTTGTTTTATAATCAAAGTTTTAAATAAGAAAAGTCATAAAAGATTTGCTCTATAACTATCTAATATATCTCACTTAACAAGTGCAAAAACAGTGTAACTGTGTACATCCTCTACAGTTAAACCAACCTACTATATGCTATATAAAGCTACATGCTTTATAACCAAATGAACTGTTTTACCTTGGAATAGATGTAGTGCTCAAGAAAGTATAATGGCATATATGTATGGAAATGCCTAAAGAATCCGAATTCTTGATGTCCTAATTTTTAAAATTAATGAACAGTTTAAATCTAAATATAGTATTAATTTAACCAACAAAATATTTAGCTCACCTTTTGGACATCCATAACTTATTAAGACTATGTATTCAAATGAGAAAAAAGTAAAGAAAGTATTTTGGAATTTGTCCCCTAATTAATCTACAATTGCTATATTCATATTGGTATTTGTTTCTCAATAAAAAAGGTGTAAAATTACAAATAAAGTAACTATGAAAATTTAGACAAATTTTGTTAATTACTCTCAATTA